CTTTCAAATCTTGTTTCTAAAGTTATTATTCCTGCAGTTGCTTCTCACACTGCTGTTCTTCAATATCATAATTTTTACGATAAAAATTATCACTATATTCCTTTAGAAGATTCTTCGTCATCTCAGGATTCTTTTCTTGTTCCTGAAGACTCCCAAGATTTCTTCGACGATATTCTTGCTGAATTGTTGACTAAAGATTCAATAGAGCCCAAAATTTCTGATAACATACCTAGTTTTGTTGATGATTTGATTATCGCTCTTCCCAATGCCTCGACATAATAATTCTCTATCTCTACAAGGCTCCTTTCTAGATAATCCTTCTAAATTTTTAAATATTTTAAAAGTTAAAGATTATCACAAGTGATATTCTTTTTCATTTGATCCTTCTTCAAGAATTGTTTCTGTTACTAATATTAATACTGGTAATACTTTCACTTGTTTTGATTACGATACTCTTAATTCTTTTCTTAATGCTAATCTTCGTTCTTAGTGCATTGCTTCTTTCCATGTATATTTTATTATTTACTTTTCTACTACTTCATTTCTTTACTATTATTATTTTACTATAATATTAGCTATGAGTAATCCAATGTTTTCTTCACATTCTTCTTCTTTCTTTTGTGATCATCCTAAGCAATTTTTGTATTTTCTTGATCGTTCTGAATATCAATATCATTGTCTTAATGGCTATTTTTTTATTTATGATAAGTCAAATAATCTCAGAAAAGTGAGAAAGATTGATTACTATCTTCTTAAACTTTTCTTATTAGATCACTTCTTATGGTTATTTTTCCGTCTTAATGAATATATTATTGATCCTTAATAAAATTTATTATTGAAAGATACAAAGTATAAAATTATTCCAAAAATTATACATATTATTACAAATACATATTCATCAAAAGGTATGCTTGTTTGTTTTTTCATTTTGTATTCTTCAAGGTTTTTACACAAATTATCTCTATCTGTCAAAATTATATTATGCTTTGAATCCCGGGCTTCTTGTATTGCCTTTCTTGTAAACTGATCTTGAGTTCTTGTAACAATTATTCCTATCGTTCCTTCTTGTTCTCTGCTCAGGGATCCTTTAAGTTCTCGTATGGTTTGTTGCACTATTATTTGATAGATAGTTAGTTTTATTTCTCACAAAGGTTCCTTAAGAACGTTCATGATAGGTCGTCCTTTTTATATCAAGTCTTTACTTGACTAATGACTTTCACAAATCATGGCCCAATGTGCTTTCATTAATTCTCCTTATAATTGCCTCACCCTTACTTGCCCACACATAATAAATAATAATTTATTATATGGCAGCGAAGTCAATTATAGTGATTCATAAATCTAGTAAGTTTTTCACTTACCAATTTTTATATTTCCCCAGTTTCTCACATATATTATAAATGGTATTCCTTGTATTTCTTCTCGTATATCAATTCCATCATCGTCTTCATATCTTCTTATTTTTCTTGCCTTTATATTGGCCTGTTGGAGTATATTTAGGATTTCTCTGATTGCCCGGAGGTTAAACATCTCTTTTTTTCGTCATCAAGGATCCTATTCTTTCTTTTATAAGATTATCATGTAGTACATTCCTCATGTTATTATTACTTTTTTTAGGTAACCATTCTCGAAATAATTTTTATTAGTATGTACAAATATGTTTCAAAGATTAAAGATATTACAATTGTTACATATGGTAGATTAAACTCTTCTTGTTCTATGAATTTTATAAGTTCTCTTCGCAAATTATTTTCTCCTACCAGTATTATATTATATTCTGATTCTTGAACATATCTTCTTGCTCCTTTCGTGAATTGGTTTTCTAATGATCCTACAAGTATCCCGATAGTTCTTCTTGGTTGTCTTCCCATGGTTGCTTCAAAGTTTCGGGCTTCTTGTTCTCCTATCTTTATAGCTGTCCAATTTTTGCATTGTATTACAAAAGATCTTTTTGCAACTATTCCTTTGATGTCTATTCCCTTGTCTCCTCTTCCTCCTGTTCTTTTTAATTCGATTCCTATCTTTTGGAGTTTTCTAAGTACTTTTTGTTCAAGAATATTTCCTTTAGCAACGGGTGAAAGCATTTTTATTTCTTATAATTTCAATTATACCTTCCTTTACATATTCCTAATGGGTCATTTTTATTTTAATATTAAAGTTTTGTTTCTTTGTCGTTAAAAGGTCTCTTTTGTTAATTATTGATGCTTCTTTTATTATTTTTTAAGGAACTGCGCATGTGGCGTTGCTTCAATAAGTATCATGTGTTCTTTTGACTTATAAGGTTACTTACATTGCTTTTCGTACAGTATAATGATTTTCTTGATTTTTATTGGGTACAATGATTCATCCCCGTACTACTTGTTTACATTTTTTGATTTTGCTAATCATTCCTTTCCATGTTTTCTTGTGTCGATTTTTCTCCTTATATGTTTAACTTATTTCCCTAACAAGTTTTCTTCAGAGATTTCTTAAATATTTAAAGATAAGTTTATAATTATCTCAATAGTTTATTTTCTTATTATTGACTATATTTTCTCGCTCAATTACTCCTTTAAGTGATGTTCCATTGTCTCGTCGTGTTGTGATTACTAATTCCAGAGGCAGAATTATTTCTGTTATCTCAGAGAACTTTCTCGGTGGCAGTACTTCTTCTCCTCCTTCTTCGGGTACTGAATATATTCCTTCCTCTGAGCCTCCTGAAGATGCTCAGTCTGAGGTTCCTTCTGAAATCTCCATTATAGAGGCTTCATCATATTCTGCTCATGTTGCTTCTAGAGGTCGTAAGAATATCTTGTATTTTTCAAGGTAATGATTGTTCTCTTTCCCAAGAGTTTTATTCCATAATCTTCACTTACTGCATTCACTTGAGTGTCTTCACTTTGTAAATGTTCCTTTTTCATTCCCTTTTTTATAAATGTTGTTTTTCTGTTCTTGCAAGTTCATCTCATGTGAGGTGAATAGAGTTCGCTTTCTTGTCTGGTATGCTAATATGCTCAGACATTTAAGCAATTTGGATCAGATGTAATCATGAAGGAGTGGTTATACAACTGGCAGACTTTAACAGTCATACAATATCATTTGTTCGCTTCATCTTTAAGGAAATGTTATTGGCCAGAGATTAAACTCATTTTCCTTCTTTTAGCAATCGTTACTTTAATTCATCCTTTCTTCATAGGTTGCCTATTCCTTCTCATGCTGTCTTTTCTTCAAGGTCTTTTCTTTGTCCTAGTTGTATTGGTCGCTTTGCTGAAACTGATCGGCTCAGAGAAATTATTGAAAGTGATTCTTCCGGTTCTCACTGTAGAAGATGTCGGTTTGACAATGAAACCTTTAAATTTATAAGAATGATGATCTGTAATATTCTTCCTAATTCTCCTGAGAGTCGTTCAGCTTCTAATTATGTTGAAATGTTGTGTGACAGAGTTCGTGATCTCGAATTAGAAATTTCTTTTCTCAAAGAACAACTTTCTAAATCAGAATAAAGTTATTGGTGTTTTCGTTATCATCTGTTCCTTTTTTGTCTATATAAATTCCATATTTGATAGTGATTGTTTAAATCTTCTCATCTATTTAACTAGGGATGTTGTTTTTTCGTTCATCATTATCTAAAATGTCTTCTTCACCTTGTTTTGATTTCATCCGGTAAAATTATATTTCTTGTTTGATTCTTTATCAACATCTCTCTCTTTTTCTTTTTATTCACGATTATTTTTCTTGCAGCTCCATCTTGGATTTGCTTAAATCTCTTGAAGATGATCTCATTCAGTCTAATCATCTTCCAGTCAATATTCAAGAATCCATTCTTAATATTCGGACTTGTCTCAGATGTCTTGAAGTTTCAGATGGTTCTTCCATTGTTGTCTTGGTCCAGGAAATTATCCGAAGTCATTTTCCATCATTTCCTCTAAGTCATCTGCTTTCTTCGATGATCGATTATCTATGTCTTTCTTTTACAAGTTCTTATGATATTATCCATAAGGAACTCATCAAACTTCAAAATATCATTTCTACTCTCCATTCAGAGAATTCTTCTCTTAAAGAGGAAAATCAAATTCTTCATGATATTATTAGAGATCTTAAATCTCAAAATATTATCCTTTCATCAGAGAATTCTTCCCTTCATGAAAAAAATAAATCTTTTCGTGATCTTATTGGTAGTTATAAAAGTTCTTAAATGTTCTTTTTTCTTCTTGATCAAATCTTTCGATTTTATTCTTTAACCTTCTTTTTGATTTTATTGGTATTTCGGTTATTTCCTTTTTCTTTTGTTATTGTTGTATCTTTCTATAGGTTTCTATAAGTTTGTGTTTCATCAAATATCAATAAAAGATCTTGACATCCTCTGCATTATTCCTTAAAATGTCTCACACTACTATCTCATCTGGTTCTCCTTCTCCAAGTGATTCTCTTATTCTTCCTGAGAATTCAGTGAATATTCCTATCAAATATCTTAATACGGCTCTAACTACTCTCTCCAATGTCTAAAATTCTCTTAAAATAATTACTTGCCAAGCATCATGAAGTGAGACTCATCGCAATTATCTTGAAGGCATCCTAGGTTCTGCTCGCTCTTTTATTGATGCCACTTTTCCACATGTTCCTTTTATATGGGATAATCCTCTTGATATTGCCGTCAGGGATCTTTGTCATTTTTACACGAATTATTATATGAAAGCTTTTCAACTTGAAGCAGAAAATACTCGTCTCAGAAAAGAAGTTAAATCACTTACTCGTATCAAACATGAGCTTGAAGATCACATTCACTATCTTCAAAATCCTTCTGATGATGATTCTCCTTAACGTTTCTTTTTCTTGTCTTTCGTTCAATATATTTTGTTGTTTCTTTCTTGTACTTCTGATTATTAATATTACTACTTAAATATTTTCTTTAAAGGGTTCAATAAAGTTTTCCATAATATTATTGGTGCTTGATTATTTCTTTATACATATTGTTTATCGCTTTCTGTCTTCCTTCTTTGTAAATGATCATAGTTGTTGTCTTGTTATTTAAAGAGTGTGATATGTTCGTCATTTTCTCCAAAATGTCTTCTTCAAATATCAATAAGTAAGATCTTTAGTTGATACATTTGTTTGTCTTTCTTTTCTTTTTAATTTTTCTTTCTTATAGCGTTCTTCAAGATCTTGATACAGCCTTGGTTGCTCTTCGTCATGCTCAGGATTCTCTCAAGGCTTCCTCTGAGGACACTTCTTGTTCTCGCTGTGTTGAGCTTGACAATTTTGTTTTTTCCTCGATTTCCAAAGCCCTTTATTCTTCTACTTCAGAAGGTTTCGTTCCTTCTCCTAAATCTTCTTTTACTCTTGTCGAAGAGATTTGCAATTACTTTCGTCTTGCAAATAAGGAAATTACTCGTCTTGCTAATGCTCTTGCTGAAGAGGAAAAGGATTCTGTTGAAGAGACTAATGAGCTTCGTGCTGAAATTACTAAACTTTGTCATAGAATTAAAGCTCTTGAAGAAGAAAATAATTCTTTGAAAAGTCGCTAAAGGCATATGATCTTTATCACGTTACTTCGTGGTGTCATTCTATTTTCTTCTAATGTCATCAATAAAGTCTAATATTTGATCATTATATTTATATCATGATGTTAATTTATGAGTTTTTCAGATATCAGTTACATCATTATGAAGTGTTACATTTTCATCATCATTTTTGTGTTATAAATATCTTGTCTTATCGTTTCTTGTTTCTGTTGGATTTTGTCTCCATTTTTAATCACGTGAGTGTATCCTAGCATACACATTTAAAATTTTCGAAAAAGATTTTCTTTTCTTACTGATTTTCATCATAAATGCTCTTATAGTATGCAAAGATCAGAGTCTAATGTTAGTGATGATGGTACTGATGGCCAAAATATTTATGATGGTGCATGTGACAATCCCCGTGATGTTCCTCGCGATTCTCCCATCCGTCAGATTCTCAATTTCCCTCCTGTTTGCTTGCCTAATGTCCAAAATGTTGTTCGTCCTCCTGTTATTCAGAATATTCAAAACATTCAGAACCATCCTATTGCTCAGAATCATGAAGACGATGAAATTTACTTTCGATTAACACTTCGCCTTGTTGATGAAATGTCTAATACTCAATTGAGAGAAGAACTTATCACTCTTCGTAATGGTGTCCTTCAACTTCGCAAAAGAATTGATTCCCTTACTGAAGAGAAATCAGCCTGTCATTCTGAAGAACTTGCTCGCAAACGTCGTCGTCTTTGTGCCCAATTAGAATTATCTGATAAAGGGGACAGTGATATCAAGAGAATGTTGTACATATTATTGTTTTACATTGTATTTTTGCTTCATCTCATCTCCTTTGCTGATTTAATTCTTCCTTTTTTAGTAACTTCTAAGTCTTTGTTATCTTTGCATTACATGTTTTCATCATTACATACTTGCATTTTGTGTAATTCAATTTTGTATTTAATTGCGCAAATAAAATTAATTTCTCATAATTCAATTACTTCTTGAAATTTCAGTACAATGAAAAATTATTACACGATTATTATCACAATTATCTTCTTGATAAGTTACTTACTTGGTCTTGTAAAATCTAAATCTTCTTATAAATCTTTTTTTAAAGATGAAGATCTATTTCAAAAAGCGTCATCCTGTTTTGAAAATATTTTAATCATGAATTGCAAGTCAACCATTAAGCTTGGTTGGAAGTTTTCCATGATATCTCCAAACATATGTTCAAAAACTTTGTTTATAACAATGCCTCTACTTATTAT